GAGCTGTGAGGTTCCTCCTATTTTGGGCACCGGGGGTCTTTGCGGAGAAAAGAGACCCTTCTTCCAGCTGGCAGAGGCAGCGCCGAGGGTGGCCCGGAGGAAGGGGCACCTGGAGGAGCGCTCCTGTCCAGCGCATCGCTCTGCCCCCGCCCCGCTGACCCAGTTCCTTGGACCTTGAGGAGGGGAGTAAGGGACAGCTCCCCTGCTCAACCCTGCGCATTTCCTCAGTCCCTTCCTACACACTTGTTCTGTGGCTCCTCAGCCTGGGGCAGAAGAGGCTGATCTATAAAGGGGGGGGGGCACCAACTTACAGGAACATGCATGACACACTGCTGAGGACAGACACAGGTCCCCCTCACGATCCCGGGTACATTCCTCTTTTTGTGACAGGTGCATAACCTCTCAACACGCATATAGAATTCACATGCAGACACGCATAGAAACGCACAGGGAGACAGATGCGGTGCAGAAGCCAGGACCCACATCATGTATGAGCACACGCATTCCACATGCACCCGCACATGTGTGCACTGAGCTTCGTGTACCTTCATGCACAAGGAACCCTCCTCGCCCTGTCTTACTCGCATCTCCGACCTCAGGTGGTACTTGCACATGTCCCTGCATCTGTGCCTGGGACTGCCTGGCTACTCCCCCTCCAATGCATGTCCTCAGCCTCACACTTAATCCCTGCCCTGAGGGGACCTTTCGAACCAGATAAAAGGTGAGTGTTGAGGGAGGTTTGGGTGGGCTGGGGAGGGCTTCCCAAGAAAAAGAGCCCTCAGCAGGTCTGGAAGGGCTGCAGCTCCCTCCCCCGGGACCTGGAAGCACCTTGAGTATAGAAAGGCAAACGAGAAGGGTCCCTGGAGGTCCCACGTGCAGCTGGCCATGTGAGAGGTGTCAGCATTCGAGTTGGCGTGTGATGGCATGTGTGAGACATGTGGGGTCGTGGGCTGGTGTGTCTTGATGCACAGTGTATGGGAGTTGCTCGCGGTGCCATGTGTCAGTGCGTGTGAGTTGTGGGGCAGCGGGATTGTTGTGTGCGGTGACATGGCGACCCATGTGTGGTGTAGGATAGTAGGTGAGTGGCAGAGAACCTAACGAGTGCATTTAGTGACCTGTATGGCGTTATGTGTGCTGGGGACGTGCACTTGCATATCATGCCTGACTCTAGTGGAGTCCGGGTACATGTCAACCATTTTTACTCATGTAACATGGATGTAGCACTTGCCTACTCAGCCGTGGTTCTGAGTGTTCACAAGGATTAACTAATTTAATTCCCTCAATAACCCTAGGAAGTAAGTACTATTATTAAACCCACTTTGCAGTTGAGACAGAGAGTTTAAGAAAATTGTCCGAGGCACATAGCTAGTAAGAGGGAGAGCTGGGATTTGAACTCAGGTGATCTGGCTCTGGGGTCCAGATTAATGCCTCTTGTTGAGTACAGGAAGAGGACTTGACAGTGTCTTGCTGCAGGAGCTTTGCGGGGTCAGCAGGTATGGGGGAAACCATGAGAGGGCAGCAGGCACAAAAGAGGGCTCGGAAGCTGGGCACCCTTTTATAAAACCTTGGGGGTCAGCTCTACCCTCTGGTGGCCTCGGGACATGAAGCAGGTCGTCTCACTTTCCTGAGCCTCCTGTCTAGTGGAAAATGGAGCTAATCCTCAGATGTCTCCTTGGGAGGGGCAGAAACGTGCACTTGTGAACAGTGCCAGAAGGGTGTCAGCCAGTGTGAACTGGCCCCTTCCTCTTCCTGGGGTGGGGTGTGGGGGTCTGCTCTCCAGACAAGCAGGCCTCAGAGCAGGGTGCAGGCTGTGTGATCTGGGGCCCACCTCTCTCTTCCTGGGGTGTCTGGTGTCTAAGGGCTCCTCTGGAGTGCACTGTGCCACGTGGCCAAAAGGACAAAACCATTGCTCTCTGTCCCTTCACCTCCTTTGGGGGGACCCAGGTGGGACTTGGCTCGTCTGCCATGGGCAAGCAGAACAGCAAGCTGAGGCCGGAGATGCTGCAGGATCTGCGGGAGAACACGGAGTTCTCGGAGCTAGAGCTGCAGGAGTGGTACAAGGGCTTCCTCAAGGACTGCCCCACTGGCATCCTCAACGTGGATGAGTTCAAGAAGATCTACGCCAACTTCTTCCCCTACGGCGACGCCTCCAAGTTCGCCGAGCACGTCTTCCGCACCTTTGACACCAACAGCGACGGCACCATCGACTTCCGGGAGTTCATCATCGCTCTGAGCGTGACCTCGCGCGGCCGCCTGGAGCAGAAGCTCATGTGGGCCTTCAGCATGTACGACCTGGACGGCAATGGCTACATCAGCAGAGAAGAGATGCTGGAGATTGTGCAGGTGGGCCGCCACCGCCACTGGCTTCTCAGTCATGGGCTCCAACACCCTTTTAACCTCTCCACACGCCTGGTCCGCGAGTAGTGGCAGGGGCTCTTCTTCCCATCCCATTCACAAAATTCCTTAGAAGGAAACAATTTTCCATTTAAAGAAGAGCTGAAAGCTAAAACTGCTGTGGAGCTAGAGGCAAGAGGGTCAGGAGTTCAAAGCCAGCCTCGGCTACCACATGAGTTTGAGGCCAGCCTGGATAATAGGAAACTCTCTCCTCCCCTACCAACCCAACAACAACAAGAGAAAGAAAGAAAAGCTGAGGAAGTTCCTATTGTATCCTTAGCCCATGTTTACCAGCTAGCATTTCCCGGCATTGCTTTATCTCTGCCTGCATACCATGCTTTCGGTTTTTCTCAGCATTGGCCCTTTACCACTCAGGTAAAAGATGTATTTCCTAAGAATAATAAGGCATTATCTTACATAACCCATAGCATGATTATCCAAGTCAAGACATTTAACACAGAAACAATGCTGTTCTAATATGCAGATCCTATGCCATTGTCCACTCTCTTCATTGTCCTGGTCTGGGATCCTACATTGAATTTTGTTGTCTTTTTTTGTTGTTGTTGTTGTTAGTCATATTTATTTAGAAACAGGATCTCACTGTGTGGCTCTGCCTGGCCTGGAACTCGCTTTATGGCCCAGGATGGTCTCCAACTCACAGAGATCTGCCTGCCTTTGCATCCCGAGTGCTGGGACTAAAGGTGTGCCACTATGACCATCTTTGTTATTCTGGAATAACAAATAACTCTTTGGAATAGTTCCCCATCTTGCTTTGTCTTTCCCATCTTGTTATTTCTGCCTTAGACAAATTTATATTTGGTTTGGTTTGGTTGGCGACAAGTCTCCCTATGTAGCTCAGACTGACTTTGAACTCATCGTCCTCCTGCCTTAGCCCCTGAGCTGTAGGGTTACAGGTATGTGTCTCTATGCCCAGTTATGCTCCACGCCCAGCTATGACCATTCATGCATGCATTTGTGCATGCATGCATCTGTTTGCAGTGCTCAGATCAAACTTGTGCTTGTCAGGGAGTGCTCTCCCACCGAGCCTCATCCCCAGCCCACAAGTACGGTTTTATTGGCCCTCATTTACTGAGGAGGAAGCATGCTGTGGAAGAAGGGCACTTGCTGGGGACCTCACAGCCTGTGAGTGGGCCACCTGGCTCTAATGTTCACATGCCATCTGGATACCCAGCCGTCTCCTGACTAATTGAAGGAGGCACCACCAGAGCCAGTATCGCATGAGGCACTCAGCCCCCTGAGCTGAGGGCATCCTTGGGGAAGCCCCACAAGTCTCAGGCAGGTAGAGTGACTTGCTTGATCTAGGACTGAGCACAGCCTGGCCACCACTCCAAGATGCCTTTTTTGAAGGCTCTGAGCTTTTCTGTGCAGGAGATGAGGGTTCCAATTCTGGGATGGCTTTAGCTCTTAGGTTGCTCATCTGTAAAACTGGAGCAGGGACAGCGATGCTGATTGCACGAGGCAATTTAGAGACCTGTCATGCATGTCTTTTCTTAGTACAGATTTAAGTATGAAACACACTAGACTATGATTCTATTTTATCCACCCTGCTCCTTGACCACCTTAAACGTTTGTTTTTAGACAGGGTCTCTGTCTGTGTAGCCCTGGCTGGCCTCCAAACACTTTTTATTTATTTAAACATTTTTATTATATTTATTTATTTATGTGTGGGGTGGCATGCTCATGCCGTACGTAGCACACATGGGGGAAGTCAGAGGAAAACTTTTGGAATTCAGTCTCTCCTTCTGTCATGCAGATCACAGGAATCAAACTAAGGATGTCAGGTTTGGCAGCAAGCACCTTTACCCATTGAGCCATAGCAGAAAGCCACATACCTGCTGGCTCTTGCCCACTACTCCTCCAAGCCTTGCCCAGCAGTGTGTGATGATGTATGTGGGGGCATCAAGCCCCTACTTCCAAAAGCTCTCACAGAGATCAAGGGGGATGGTAGCTCCATCTAGGGCTTTGTAGGTGCTCAAATGGCTGTCAGTCATTCTTTCTCCATACATCATCTGCACTGGCTAAAATGGTCCTGCAAGCATCCCCAAGACATGCCTTGAGAAGCGCTGCCCCATAGCTTTGCATGAGGCCCCTTCCAGCCCCTCTGCTTCAGGGACTGATATCTGCTCTGACTTACCTGACCCCCTGGCTCTCCTCTTGCTGGGATGTGGATCTCAGCCTCTAGCTTGAGTGGAATGGCTGCGTTGGGAAGTGATACGTTCTCTATGCCAGTAGCTTGTTGCCCCAGCATTTGTCTCAGAAGCTTGTGAACCACAAACTCCTCTTTGGAGGCAGGATGATGGGGAACTCTGGGGGTCCCTGCTGGAAGGGTCAAGATAGTGATGGAGGATTATTCAGGGATCTGCTGGACACCCACACATTCAGAGAGATGCTCATGTTTTCCGGCTTGTACACTGGAAAATCTCAGCCCTGCTGAAGCCACCAGTGGTTAAGCTCGCCCATTCCTTAAGGACCCCCGGGCTCTCTTTTACCAGCTTTTGCCCTCTAGACCCTGACTTCCTCTGTGACAGTCCAGAGGCTCCAGACAGCTACTGCAGACAGAGCTCTGTGAATCCCAGGGCCTGATTAATGACAAGTAGGCTCCAGTGAAACTCTGAGTGAGCAATCCAGACTTAATCTAATTAATCTAATCTAATTAATTAATTAGAAGGATTGTCACAAGGAGAATGACCATTCTCTAAGTCACTGCTCAGTCAGTCCTTCTCCCATCCCAGTCCTACACCGACTGCTGGCCTGGTGGGGAACAAGAGTCAGTGTGTTTCTTTGCGTTCCCACTCTGATAAGAAAAATTAAGGCACAGGCCACACTGACGAGGTCAGTGACAGGTATATAAGAGTACCATCCAGGAGTCCTGGGAACTGAAAAACCAGAGGACACAGTGGGTGAATAATGGCATTAGCGGTCACTTACTCCAGCCAGCCACGGTTCTATTTTTCTATCCCATTTAATCCTCTAGAGCAGTGGTCCTCAACCTGTGGATTTTGACCCTTTGGGACAGGGAGGGGAGTCCTGAGTGAGCCTTTCACAGGAGTCACTAAGACCATTAGGAAACACAGAGATTTATATTACAATTCGTAACAATAGTAAAATTACAGTTATGAAGTAGCAATAAAAATAATTATATGGTTGTGGGGTCACCACAACGTGACGAACTGTACTAAAGGGTCACGGCGTTAGGAGAGGTGAGAACCACTGGTACAGACAATCCTGATGAGATAGACACAGTGCTCCATTTTACAGATGAAAACCGAGGTTCAAAGAGGCTAAATTCTTATCTAAGGGTACACGGCAAGTGTAGAATGGACCAGGATGTCACTCCAGAGCTCCTGCTGTCCATCACTCCAAAGCGCCCAAGCATCTGTCTAGCAGCTAAGAGGGAACAAACCCTGATCTAGTGCTTTCCATCAGTTCCCTTCCCAAATCCTGTTTCTTATCCAGAAAAGGGTAAGAGATGCTCATCTTATCCAGATTTGATACCTGCTTTTTCTGAGCTGATGTACAGTTTAGAAATCCTGCAGGTATGTCAGGTACTGTGGTGTACCCGTTTGGTCCCAGCACTCGGGAGGCAGAGGTAGGGGGCCCCTGAGCTTGACATCAGCCTGGTCAGAGTGAGTTCCAGGACAGCCAGTACTATGCAGAGAAATTCTGCCCCCCAAAACCAAACCAAAACACACACACACACACACACACACACACACACACACACACAGAGAGAGAGAGAGAGAGAGAGAGAGAGAGAGAGAGAGAGAGAGAGAACAAAACTCATAGGACCTGGCACATAGTGCTTGCATGAGAAATGGTAGTTATATTATTTCAGGCAGAGTCTGAAATGCCAGGGCATCTGAAAAGCCCAGGAGTGTTCAGTTGTGGCAGAATTACCCCTCCAGCAAGGCCTGGTGGTGGTGGTGAGGCCAGCATTGGACAGCTTGGGAATTATCTTGAATGCCAAAAGCAAATGGTTTGGACTTGGTACAGAGGGTGGTGGGAGGCGACAATGGCCTTTAAGCAGGGAGTTCCCTGCTATGTGCCAAGGCACTGTACTGGGATTTGGGAATCTCAGAAGTAGCTGCAGTCACTGTTCTTATCTGAATGGTGCAAAGTAGGCACAGTCCTCTAGGGAATTAATTACTTCCTGAGAGGTGTCCTCAAAGGAAGAGCCCCGGAGGCTCTGTGCAGCCGATGTGCCCTGACCCCGGTTGGATCACAGATGATCTTGCTAGGGGAGCATTGTAACCCGAACCCCAAGGAAGCGTGGGAGGCAGCATCCTTAAGGAACCGGTGCACCGTGGGCCTAGAGGGAGGTCTAAATGTGCTGGAAGCGAGGGGGCGGCCTGCTGGTTTGGGGGCATGGTAGTGGAGATTTGTGTTTGGAAAGAATGTTCAGAGGCAGTGTGTGGGACACACCTGAAGGAAAGAAGCTAGAAAAGAGTAGTGCAGAGACGAAGCTGGATGTGAAGGGTGTGGGGAAGGCTATGGCATGGGGAAGAAAGGAAGTTTCTTGGAGGAGGTGTCATTGTGAAAAAAAGTTGGAAGTCTGGTCTTTGAGCTCCAGGGAGCAGAAGCATAGCCCATCCCACAGGCCGAGCACTACGTGCTCTGTACATTTAGCTCAGACACTCTCCTTCGTGTTGCCTCTGGAGCACCTACACGTGGCAGCTGCCGCCCTCAGCCCAGCAGAGCTCAGGCTGTCCCTGGCCCGGTGGCAGGTGCTCATTTGCAATCGTTTGCATAATGTTCCCGCCCCTTCTGGGTCTCAGCTTGCCTTGACGTTCTGCGCCCCCTGCCGGTCACGGACCGCAGCGCAGCTCTCAGCTCAGCGCCCCCTGTCGGTCAGCGATCGAGAGCGCTAACTCAACCCTTATCCCCAAACATATACCCTGGCATTCTAAGGCACTTTGCTATCTGGGCTTCGGTGTCCTTCAACATTACTTGACTCTGAGCACCCCAAATTATTGGCATCCGCCCGGAGCTTTGCAAGTTGCAGTGCCTTTGTTTATCTCTATCGGCAATTCCCACCTGGCCCTCCAAGGGACCTGCCCCAGGGCACTCTTCAGTCACCCCTCTGCTAGAAAGCCTTTTTCAGAGTCTTCCTTCCCTCCTCCGTGGCCCGAGGAGCATGACCTTGAGGTGTTTATAGAGACCGAGATCGGGATGGGGGCTTAAGGCGGCTCTTCTCACTCGCTGATGCCCTCTTCCCTCCCGACCCCCATCCCCCATAGGCCATTTACAAGATGGTTTCGTCCGTGATGAAGATGCCTGAGGACGAATCGACCCCGGAAAAGAGGACTGAGAAAATCTTCCGCCAAATGGATACAAACAATGACGGTGAGTGTCCGGGGTGGGGGTGGGCGGCCTCCCTTGCTTCCCCTCCCGCACCACCTGCCTGGTTTCGTGGCTACCTTCTCCTCGCCAATAGTCCTTCCTTCGCCCCACAGGCAAGCTGTCGCTGGAGGAGTTCATCCGCGGGGCCAAAAGCGACCCCTCGATCGTGCGCCTGCTGCAGTGCGACCCCAGCAGCGCCTCCCAGTTCTGAGCTGGGGAGGAACCAGCTCGCAGCCTCCCTGCCTTCACCGGCCCTCTGCTTCCTCTCCCTCTCCTCCCAGGCTGGGGGCCAGACTGGGGACCCCTTTCTGGGGTCTGCACTGTGGGGGGCCTCTGGAGAAGCGAACCCTGCAAGGAAAGGGCTAAGCAAGACAGCAGTTAGCACCCACGGCCCTAGAGACAGAATCTCCTTTAGTGGGACCGAGATGACCCTCTGGCTGGTCTGTCACTGTTCTGTGTTCTTTATTCAGACAGCTGGATCACCTTCCACCCACCCACAGCCCCGAGGCCCTTCCACAAATCGGGGGTGGGGAGTGGGGGGAGGTTCCCCTGGAGTGGCCCTCAGTCTGGAGGGAGGTGGGGAGGTGCCCAGGTGAAGAGTGTTTCAGTTTGGTGGGGGAGACAGAGGATTGATTCTTGGGCCGTGGGGCTTTGAGGAAGTTCCCCCATCTACTTCCCAGCAGAAGAATACTTCCCGTTCCAGCTCTTGCTGGCTGGAGGCCATGGTAAAACAGATCTCCCAGGATTCCAACTGGGGGGTCCCCAAACCCAGCCTGCCTCTTAGCATTTAGATGACCACAGATTTAACCCCTCTGTATTCTGTATTTCACCCTTCTTCACCCTCACGCGAACACACACACACACACACACACACACACACACACACACACACACACACACACGCAGAGTCCCTTCCACAGCATTCTGTGTGGGAAAGAAGTGCAGGCCCCTGGCAAAGCCCTCATCTCCCTCTGCATGCAGCACACGGAGCATCTCTGTTCTTTTTATTATCTTCAAAATAAAGTCTTGTTTCAGTGCAGAGTGCTGGGTGGCCAGGGAGGGCGTTCAAAGCCCCTCACCCACGTCCCCAGGGGTTCATTGAGCCTTCTTGGGCCCGCTCTGGGAATCCTGGATCCATCTAGGCTTCCATGGCTCCATGGTCAGTGCGGGCTTGGTCACATGCCTCAGTAGCCATGGTCCCATTGAGGTGTCAGATGGTCAGCTGCACAGTGCTGGTACAGCTCAGTAGGTCATGGCCATCCAGGGGCTCTGGGCTCATTTGCGTCTGCAGACACAGAAACCTGCTTATTTCACTGGGTCTGGATTGGAGTTTCTATCTCCAGGACATCCTCAAACTGGAGGCAGGGAGAACTAGGGGCTTCTGGGGTATGGGACAGGACATCACTCTCACTCACTCAAGACAGACCAGGCCCCTGAGTGTCTCCTGTTTAAGCATCCAAATTTTGTGCTTCCCCTCAAGATTGGGAAAGCCAGACACTGCTGTGTGGCTTAGCTGGCAGATCTGGCTTCTCTGGACTTTGGAGCCCTTCGATGGTGTGAGCAAACTTTTACCCTAGTTATCTGAGGCCCTGTTCAGAGGTGGGTGGGGCTGACCAGCCAGGGATCCCAACAGGGACTTCCCAGGACTGTGGGGGGGGACTCACCGTGTGGTGGCAGCTTTTCCCCCACCAGGGCTTCAGTTCCAGCAGCCGATGCACGAGCTGGGCACAGCGCACGGCAGACACACTCTCCGCCACACAGAACATGAGAGAGATGGCCCAGAGGCACAGGCTAGAGCTCTGCAGGGTAGACCAGCACAAGCTTCTACTTAGGGATGGGGTGCAGGTAGATCCCAAGAGCCCCTCCAAGCCCCCTGTCAAGGCTGAGGCACTCACGTAAATTCGAGTAGGGTCAAAGGGACAGTCAGGTGCCAGTGTTGGGAGTTCAGGGCTCTCAAAAGTACAGGCTGCCAGCAGTGCCCGGCCCTGGGTGGCAAAAGTCACCGCGATGGAGGCCAGGAGCCCAAGGGCGCAGGTCAGAGAAAGAAGCCCACAGGCCACACTCAGGCTAAAAACGGCCCAGCGCTAGGTGTGGAGAGCACTAGTCAGTGGATATCATGCTTGGTTGGCCCCAAGGGGGCTGTTGACCCCGCCCACAGTCCCATCCAAGGAAGTGTCACATACCAAGGGGGAGCTGCGCAGGTAGCGTGACAGGACAACAGCTGCAATTCCTGCAATGATGACCTGTGTGTGTGGGGGTGTACATCAGCTGCAAAGCCAGTGATGGACGAGAGCTCACGGGGTCAGATAAAGATCCCACCAATGTCTTCCTTATTCCTGCAATCCCCACTCCCACCCTGAGCCCGGCTTCAGCCTCATTAGCTCTGACTTCATAGAGGCTTTGCCTCCTGATCATGGCTCACTGCCTACAACCTTCCAGGGTTCCATACTGCCTAAAGCTGTGAGTCTCCAACAGGGTCCTATGCATCCTGTTTGCAAGCACATGCCAGGGGCTATGGGATACACATGATATTTCTCCTTGGCATGGGAAAGACTTTGGAAGAAATGCATTCCACTGACAAGGAACGAAAACCAAAATGATACTAAACCAGGAATCAGGCATAGTGACCCAGGCAGGTGGACTGTTGCAAGTCTAAAGCCAGCCTGCCTTACATAAAAAGTCCTAATTCAGCCTAGTGAGTTGCTCAGCAGCCATACGAGGAAGGCACGAAGGTGGCCAGGCCCTGAGTCACTGTCTTAGTGAAGCCCCATCTTAGACAGACAGGACACGTTATGAACAGAACTCAGAATCTCTAAGAGGGGGCTGAGGATGGAATTCAGGAATAGAATGCTTGCCTAGCACGTGTGAAGTCCAGGTTCAATCCCTGAGTACAATAAAAGACAAAGAAACCGCTAGGAGTATCTGACGTTATCCCAGGCTCTTAATGATCTGTTCCTGGCCTTCTCTAGTCTACCCCGGGCCACTGTCTTCCCTCATCACACTGGATATGGGCACCCAATCATAGCTGTTACCCACAGAGCATCCTCTCCAAGAACACACTTCCTGCTCCTGCATCCTAATGCCCCTTGACCCTCAGAGACAGGCCCTCCCATGCACTGTTGAGCCCCGGGGCTGCCCACCTCCCCAGATCACTAGCTCCATTTAGCCTACCTACCATCTTAGATTCCCTCTCTGTAATGGATGTGTATAGTGGCAGTGTTAATTTACTGTGCAGCCACAACAAAGTGTCAACTTCTCTGGGCTCAGTCCTTCTCTGCAGGATGAGGTCACAGGAAGACATCAGCAGGCAGTGGGGTGAACCCCTCCAGGCATGGGCAGCTAAGAGTAGTGAGGATTTATTGGGGAAAGGAAAGCAAAGTCGAAGAGGTCCAGCCCAGAGCCTCCTAACCCTGGGCAGGCCACCTTCCGAGTCTTCCTCATTTGGCTGCTGAGCAATAGATACTGATTGGGACATAGTACAACATTCTTCCTGCTGTTGGAGTGTCTACAGGTCAGAGCCTGGTTCACCACGCCCGGAGGCCAGGAGTCTGTCTGAGCTTCATTTTGTAGGCAGAGACCAGCACACACAGAGAGAAATCCCTTCACCAGGAGTCAGCAGGTCTCCCGAAGTTGAGCAGATTATCCCCAAGCCTGCAGCTGCCTAGCTGACATGTGAAGAAGAGTTTTATAAACCCAAGTGTATTAGGCTCTTTCGTTTAGTCGTTCATCAAACGGGCAGGCGCCCAGGTATCACATGGCTGCGGCTTATCAGGTAGTTCTTATAGGTCCATTCTAGCACTGAACTCCTGTCTAATTGTTTGGCTCAGTGTTTCTGAACATGGAATGCCACCCTGGCATGCTTTTCTGCCTGCTAGCCCCAGCATGCCACATACCTGAGTTGATAATTACAGTCCATTGGGAACTCCTACTCCTCCAGCTCAGACATCTCCACTTCCCTGAAACCCTTTTAGACCTCCCTAGCTAGGCTGGTGTTCATTCCTTCTATACCCACACTGTGAATATTTGTCACGGCAGTTCAAATAGTGCCAGGTCCTAAGGTAAACACCTTCTGCGGATGACCTCAGATACCCACTAGGAACCTCTGCACCCCACCACTCCCACCACTCCCATTTTACAGATGGCAACGCTGAGGCAGAGAGAGTTTGAATGCCTGCACTGTTGGTAGATGGTTCCTAGGGTTAGTGCTTGGGACTCTCCCAGCCAAGCCATACCACAATGGCAGAGGTGACGGAGAGGATGTCCACCACACAGTACTGTAGAACCACGGCATCACTGGCGGCAGCCACGAAGCGAAGCATGGTGCCATGGAGCACAGCGGCTGCAATGAAGCTCACGTGACCCAGCACTACCAGCACCAGGCCCGTCTTCATCAGCACCTTCCGGAACTCACCCACATTCAGGCCACCTGTGGGGACACATGCCAGGATCATAGTGAGGCTCTTCCTGCTTGGCAGAGGAGAAAACCCAGGCTTTGGGTCGTCTGAGACCTCCTGTTTCTTCGTCTCTTAGACTTTCACAGTTGGCTTTTGAAAGTCCTTGGATTCTTAGGTTGGAAAAGCCCACAGGTAGCATACAAATCTGTCCTTGCTAACTAGTGAATTATGGCTAGCAGGGATCTAGCATCATCTTTCCACTGAGCCATTCATTCATTCATTCATTCATTCATTCATTCATTCATTCATTATCTGTCCCATTTCCCAAGGGCCTGCTTTGTGCTGTGCACTAGGGTACCTACAAGCCCAACAGGTACTGTCCAGGCCTCAAGGAGCCCACAGTGTTCTGAACAGGAGTCACGCCCTGCTCAGTAGCCAGTCTAGGAGGTGGGGACTGGCACACACATGGCACTTGACACATAGCTGCTAAACAAAACCTGTTGAGAGCTGTCAGTCTCCACTTCTCTCCAGGAGAGGAAGAGAGACCTTGTCTCTTAGTGTGGACAAGGCCCATGGGCGGATGGGAAAGTCCCTGGGGTCTCTTAGTGCAGGGGGTGCTAAATTGAGGCTGGGACCAGAAGGGAGGCTGGCAACAAATACAATTTCTGAGTGGCCAGGAGCAGAATCCTACCACACCTGAAGAGCGGGAAGCCCCCCCTTCTCCCCTCTGAGTGGTTTCTCTGCAACAACACCCCCATTGCTGTTAACCCTGCCTCAAGGACATGGCCACTTAGACCCTCAGGTCCCCTCAGTGTAGCCAGCTCTGTGAAACTGGAGGTGTATGGTCATTCCTGCCAACTAAGCAGAGCCCTTCCTCCTTCGTCGCTCCCAATGGCTCTGACTTTGAGATCCCTGCTAAACCTCAGTTTGCCCAAATGTGTCAGAGATTTGACTCTGTTCCCTATATGTGAGCTCTTCTGCTGAATGAAAACAAGAAATGGGGTGGGGTGGGGTCACTAAGCTGGACGGTCTCTGGGCAATTGCAGGGGGCCAGGAGTGGTGGCTCATAATCCCCGATTTCAGGAGACTGAGGCAGGAGGATTGCTGTCAATTCAGGGCTAACTTAGGTTACAGGTGAGACTCTGTCTAATACATATAAGTTGTCCATGCTCCAGTAAAAAGCCCCCTCATACTCCTGTAAGCAGCCCTAATTAAACTCAGTAGCATACACTCCCACACACACTCACTCACACACAGAGGCAATTTTGGGGAGAAAGTAGGAGCCTGTCTAGATAGTCACAGAGGTACCAGGCCCTCCTCCCCTCTGGGCCCTGGGTTCTCCATGCATAAAGCCAGGAGGGGCTGGCCTGACTGGTCCCTGGGCTCTCCCATACAGCAAAGGACAGACCATAGCTGGAAAAGCACGAGGAACTGGCACCGCCTTGTGAGGATGAACAGCTGGCTAAACAGGAAGAGGGACTGCAGCCTTGATCCAGGGACCTGAAGTCCCACCCCATCCTCCCATCCATCCACCCACCCATCAGCCAGGAGCAACCCAGATACTCCTGGTCTTTAGCTGGGCTCAAAACCAGAAACATCTCTGGACCAAGGCTTTGGTCAAACAGGCGGCCAGGGTTGTGCCTGGCACTGGTCAGAAACCCCTAGGGCAGTTGTGGGCTTTATTTCTCAGTTCCCACGCTGGGAGCATTGGGCAATGCGGTTGGCAACAGTGCTAAGCCTTCGTTATCAGGAGCCAACTTCATCCTGGTCAAGCAAGAGACGGGTTCGAACGTCCCCATTTTACCAAGGACAAACAGGCTTTGTATGTGAAGAGTGGAAACTCCTTAGACCCCAAACAGCAGGGTTTGCCCAGGGAGTGGGGGAGGGGCGCACCAGTCCACACGGTCGGTGATCCCGGTTGACTGGCCTTTCCCTGCAGCCTGGTCAGGTGAGAGGATCTGGAAATGGGACCTTTGGTAAGGCTAAGGACCCGAGGCCCTGGACCCCGAATCCCGATCTCCCAATCTCCAGCATCCCTTCTCCCGTCTGCGGATCCTGGAGCCTGGTTTCGCCCCTGAGAAGGGAAAATAGAGCCAAGAGGTGGAGGTGCCACCGGCCACATCCAAACGAGGTTTACTCCGAGCTGGGCCTCAGTGGCGCAAACCTGGAGTCCCAGCCACTTAGGAGGTTGAGGCTGGAGGATCCAGAGTTCAAAGCGAGAGTGAGCTAAGTACTGAGTTCCAGGTTAGTCCCTGGGTAACTTCGCTGTCTTGAAACTTTGGGGCTGGTGTTTGGCTCCATGGTAGAGCACTTACCTAGCCCTCACCCACAAAGCAAATAAAGCCTAGCCACTTGTCACCCCACCGCCATCTTATTTCTGGGGGAAACTGAGGCTGAGAGTGAAGTGACCTGCCTCAGGCTAGGATGTGAGGCGGGGAGGGATGGAGCCGGTGGCCTGGCTTCGGGTTGGGTCCCCCCAGGAATGGGCCTCCCTTGAGCCCCAGCTCACCGATGCGCAGACACATGTCG